CCCCAAAAATAGTAGGGTATGGACTTTTAAAAACTTTTATGGCTTTTTTCTACTAATTGTAAGAGATTGAATTTCATGTTGAAAAGTAGCACATCTCGTCGTTAAAGGGTTAAGTTCATCATGCAGTACCGGTGAAAACAAAGTGTGATGTAAGTTAGAAAATTTTGTTTTATGAAACAAATATTTGTCTAAATTTTATAAAAGGTCTAAATTTTATTAAGCAAAATATTCAAGTGAAATTTTTATTCTTTTTTAAGTTAATTTAAAATTTTTATTATACCTAATTTTTTAAATCTTTTTTTATTTTAATCTAAATTTAATCGTTAAATTTTGTTATTTTTATGGTTCAGATTTCTTATCTTTGTTTTAGACTATTTAAAAGTTAACACTTTTTTTCTCAATATTTTCTATTTTACATAAAATTTATTTAATGATTTACATTTTTTTTATTAAATATTTTTTATTATATCTTTTAATAAATCTTATATTGAATTATATTGTTATTACTCCTATTATTTTATATTTACAGAAGGAAAACAGAGGTCATATGAAAAATTTAAGGTGGGAGCCTCTAGAAAGATATGTACCAGCTTTTGTAAAAAATGATAACTATAATGCGAAGGATTTACCTCAAAAGGAGTCATCTCAATAGGAGTCACCTCAAGAAAAGTCACCTCCATCACCATCATCTAGCACTTCTTCCACTAGTTCTTCTTCAAGTAGTTCGTCTTCTCCAGGGTCTAATTCATTTAAATCGAAATTACCTGCATCGAATTCTTCAACGCAGAATCCTCTAATATAGGAAGCATCGAATCTTTCAATGCCAGGAGCATAAATTCTTCAATGCCAGGAGCATTAAATTCTTCTATGCCAGGAGCATTGAATTCTTTAATGCAGTATTGAATTCTGCCACGCAGAATCCCCCAACATCAAATCCTTCAATGTCACGAGCACAAAATTTTCCAGTGCCAAGAGCATCAAATCCTTCAACCTCACGAGCACCAAATTTTTCAGTGCCAAGAGTATCGAATCCTTCAACCTCAAGTGCATCAAATTCTTCAGTGTCAAGAGCATCGAATCCTTTTACCTCAAGTGCATCGAATTCTTCAATAGTAGGATTACTGAATCCTTCAACTTCACGTGCATTAAATTCCTCGGCACAGAATCCTTCAACATCAAGAACAATTATTTTAAATGATAACGACCCATGCATTCAAACGGTAACACGGCCGAAAAAGGTGCCGACCAGCAAAAGGTGCCGACCGGATAATAAAAATGAAAATCCTAAGAAGAAAAAAAAACTTTTATGTTAAACTATTTTACAGAAAACTTAAATTTTTATTTCTATAAAACTATTCGAATAGAATAAAGATACTTTAGTATCTTCTTAACATCATTGTAAATTAAAATTTTGTTTTTTTAAACTATTGGATAGAGATACAATATCTTATTAAACTATGTTACACAAAACTTAAACTTTTATTTTTATAAAACTATTCGAATAAAGATACTTTAGTATCTTCTTAAATCATTATAAGTTAAAATAGTTTTTCATAACTATTGAAGAGAGATACAATATCTCTAAAATGTTTAGAAAAAGTAACTGTTTTGTATTCCATCTTAACGGTAACTTTTTTTCTAGGTTTATATTTAACAATCTCTTTGATACATCAATATATATATATATATATATGGTTTATTTTTGTACATTATCTTCATAGAAAATAATATTTTTCTTTCATTACACATGTGTAAACAGTTATGTATATGTATAAAGTATATTTTTCAACATTATCTTTACAGAAAAAATTTTTCTTAACATATGTGTAAAAATTAATATGATAATAAAAAAAATTGTGCAACAAGATTTTCATTCTGTCCAAAACCCACTCATTTAACATATTTATCTGTTAAATTTATTATTTCATCAGTTTACAATTTGTTTATTATTTAATACATTTAGCATTTAATCAAAATTTATGGTGCTTATTTAATTATTTATTGAAAATTATTTAAGGTCAGTGGAGAATATTTTGTGATCCATTTTTATTTTTAATTTTAAAACTTTAAATGTATTAAGATTAATGAATTATTCAAGTAAATAAATAAATTACATTCAAATCAAGATTAATTAATTATTCAAGTAAATAAATAAATTACATTTAAATCAAGATTAATTAATTATTCAAGTAAATAAATAAATTACATTCAAATTAAATATACATTGAATTTGAAATTTCGCGCGTATCAAGACTCGTTATAAAACCACCGCATGGAGATGCTGCTTTCACTCCACTAGCGATGCCTAGTGGGGAGCGCTGTGATGGCAGAGCGCCGTGGTGGGGATCACAACGGTGAGTGAGTGCAGTGCGCCAGCCAGCACACTCATTCTTCTTTCAGCTTGCATCGTTGTAGGTTTCTCTTCCTTACAGGTCTCTTCCCTCCAGGTCTTTCTCTCTTCTAGGTTTATTTTCTCTTCACCAGGTCTATCTTTCTTTCCTCTAGGTCTTTTTCTCCTCTAGGTTTATTTTCTCTTCACCAGGTCTTTCTTTCTTTCCTCTAGGTCTTTTTCTCCTCTAGGTTTATTTTCTCTTCACTAGGTCTTTCTTTCTTTCCTCCAGGTCTGGTTGTCACTTCTTTACTTATCAAGGAAATTGACGTATCGGAATTGTGGAATTTGGATGTTTTAGGAATTAAAGATCAGGTGGAAACAGATTCTAAAGAAACGCATAGAATAAAAACTGAACTAAGAATTCGCCAATCTGTAACAGTTGACGAGAGTGGAAGGTACGAGGTGCAGCTACCCTGGAAAGAGAATCACCCTGTCCTACCAAGTAACGAAATGCTTGCGAAGATGAGATTAGATTTAGTTATTGAAAATTTAAAGCATTTAAGCATTTTTTTATTTTTTTAAAGCATTTTTTATTTAAAATTTAATTTATTTAAATTTAATTTTTAATTTTTATTTAAAATTTGTTACAAGAGTATGATCAAGTGTTTAATGAGTGGATACGGGAAGGAATCGTGGAGGAAGTTTCTGATAAGGAAGCTAAGGGATATGGTCATTATTTGCCTCATAGGCCCGTCATAAAAGAAGGTATTACTACTCCATTACGGCCTGTGTTCGATGGATCTGCGAAGGTAGAGAAAATCCTTCACTAAATCAATGTTTGGAGATTGGACCGAATCTGATTGAGTTGATTCCTAAAGTTCTTATGCGTTTCCGAAGTAATAATGTTGGAGTGATTTCGGACATCAAGAAAGAATTTTTACAAATTGGTATTCATCCCGAGGATAGAAATGCTCTGCGATTTTTCTGGAAAGATTTAAATGATCCATCGAAGATGAAAATTTATCGTCACGCAAGAGTAGTGTTCGGAGTGACAAGTAGTCCGGCATTGCTGGGTATTGTAATTAGCATGCACCTAGAACAATTAAGAAATAACGAAAATTCAAGAATAAAAAGAGACATCATCGAGAAGCTGGCTAAATCATTATATGTTGACAACTGTGTAGTGAGTGTTGCAGATGACGAAGAGAGAAAATTGTTTAAGAAAGTGTCAACCGAAATCATGAGACAAGGAAAATTCGAATTACGAGGTTCGAAATATTCTCATGATAAAAGTGAGAAAGCAGATACATCTGTTTTAGGATTGACATGGAATAAATCGGATGACACATTGCGATTGAACAAGGAATCATTCGAGACATAATTACCACCAAAGATTACTAAAAGAGTAATCTTATCAACAAGTCATAAAATATTTGATCCAGTTGGAATGTGTTGTCCTGTTTTGTTGTACCCTAAGTTGTTGTTGCAGCAAATCTGATTGAGAAAAATGGACTGGGATGAAGAAGTGGATCCGAAGATGTTAAAAGATTTCGAAAGAATGGCATAAAAGTTTGACGCAGTTAAAGGAATTACGAATTCCACGCAGAATGTTCGGTGAGTCATCAGAAAAAGACCTATTGACTTTTCATGTTTTTGTGGACGCAAGCCAAGCAGCATATGCAGCAGCAATCTTTGTAAGAGTAGAAACAAATACAAGAAATGATGTAAAACTGATGGAGGCTAAATCGAGAGTTGCACCTACAAGAGAAATCTCAATTCTACGTTTAGAACTTCTAGCAGCTACAATGGGAACTCGTTTGATGCAATTTGTAAAATAGTGTCTGTCCATTGATGAAGATACAATCTACTATTGGAGTGATTCATCAACTACACTCACGTGGATTAAAGCAGGAAAACAATGGGCAACTTTTGTGTGGAATAGGGTGCAAGAAATCCGTAAGATGACAGATCCACGTCAATGGAGATTCGTACCTGGAGAGATGAATCCGGCGGATGTCCCCTCCAGAGGATGTACAGTAGAAAAACTCCTCGACTCAAGATGGTAGGAGGGGCCAGCATGGCTGAGAATGAATTCAAGCAATTGGCCAAAATCAGAATACATAATGGACAAACAGCTGGTCGAGAGCGAACTTAAGAAAATACAGAAGGAAGGAGATAAAGAAAAACAAGGAATATCAAGTACAGTCACATCAATAACTTGCAATGTATCTGGAAATCAGCTGTCATGGTATACAAAATATTTCTCCTCAAATATCAAAACTATTCGTATGGTGGGGTGGATTTTACGATTCATAAAAAATGCACGAGTTAATTTAGTGGAACGTCAACAAGGTGAATTAACAGTGAAAGAGTTGGATATTGCAGAAAATTGTGTTTTAAAAATGACTCAATGTGATTCTTTTAAAAATGTAAAAAATGAAAAGATTGCATCCTTGAATCCTTTCATTGATGACCTTGGTTTGATTCGTTTAAAGACTCTGATTTCTAATAGAGATGATTTGAGAGATTTCTGATACCCTATTGTTCTTGACTGTTGTCATCCGCTGGTGATCAGATTAATTGAATATAAAAACAAACTTCTCAATCATGCAGGAGTTTCTATTGTGCTGAACAATTTACGAGAAAAATTCTGGATCCTTAAGGGAAGATGAACTGTAAGAAATGTGATGATAAGCGTGTTTTTTGCCGACGACATAAAAGTAATCCAGCACAGCCACCACCAGCAGTTTTACCAGAAGAAAGAATTCGAGATGCAAAAGTTTTTGAAATTGTTGGAGTGGATTTGGCTGCACCGATTTTCTTGAAGGATGGTACGAAGGCGTGGATATGTTTGTTCACCTGTGCCATTTACAGGGCTCTTCATCTGGAATTGGTCACAACATTGTCAACAGAGGGTTTCCTTGAAGTATTGCGTCGCTTTATAGCACGAAGAGGACGACCGAGAAGAATATATAGTGATAATGGGACAAATTTCAGAGGATCTGATAACATGCTGCAGAAAGTGAACTGGTCGAAAATCACGGATTATAGTGCGATAAGGAAAATCGAGTGGAAATGTAACCCGCCCTCAGCACCATGGTGGGAAGGTTGGTGGGAGTGTCTTGTGAGAATTGTCAAAGATTTTTTGAAAAGAGTTCTTGCCAAGTCCTGCTTAACCTATGAGGAAATGAACACTGTTTTGTGTGAGTGTGAGTCAATTATTAATTCCTGCCCTATCTCATACATGAGTGATGATCCGTTACAACCAGAACCACTGTCACCAGCGATGTTTCTCCAGGAGATAACGGAAACTGGTACTCCAGATTTGGACCAAATTGACGAAGTTGACCTCAAAAGAAGAGTTAAATATCGACAAAAAGTCAGAGACGATTTGCGTCGTAGTTTTCGTAAAGAGTATTTAGGACAGTTATCGAGAAAAATGAAACAAGCGAGTGATTGTGTAGTCAAAGTGGGAGATGTAGTGCTGGTGGGGAGTGATAATGACAAACGCTTGAATTGGCCCTTAGCATGTGTGACATCGGTGATTGCCGGTAGAGATGGTGAAAATCGAGTTGTAAAATTAAAAACAGCATCAGGAGAATTGGTTAGACCTATTCAACGAGCATTTCCTTCAGAATGTTCAGATCGTGGTGCATTTAAAGAAAGTATAGTGTTAATATCTGTAAAAAAATCCCTAAAATTGAGAGAAAAATGTATAAAGCAAGATAATGTGTTGAAGTGCACGACGAAAGTGAATTGAAAAAGAAAAATCCTGTTTACACTCGAAGTGGACGTTTGGTAAAAATACCAGAGAGATTATAGTTATCCCTAAAAAGTATAATTTAGTTTTGTAAAATTTAATTTTGTAAAATCTGATTTTGAAAAAAAATGTGATTTTGAAAATTATTATATTGAATTGACAAAAAAATCCAGGCGGAATGCGAGTACTCCTAATAAAGTCGGCTGTAGACGCAAATTAGGTTAATATATATTGAAAAATTTCTAAGTAGAATGGTTATGCTTAATCCAAAAAGTATTTCTTGGGGACTCTTTTCGAAGTGCGTAAGGCCAATAGGGCAGGAGTATAAACAAGAAACAAAACAAAAATAATTGTTCAAACAATCCTGTAATTGTTATAAACAATTTACTTTGCAAAAGTAAAATTATGGAATTTTTAAAATTAATTTTAAAAACTTCCGGATGTCCTAGAGGTCTGAAATTTTTTATGCAAGTTCAGAACTGATAACTCTACAATAATCCATAGTTATTTGTTGACTTGCACAACCAGGTTGCTGATGACGGGTATACTTGGGGATCATCTTCGAGGAATTAAGTCGAATTTTTTGTAAACGGTTTAGGCATTCATTTTAAGATTTAGGGGAAATAATTATTCTTGACACTTAGACAACTAGGTCGCAGATGACGGGTATACCTGGAAATCATCTTCGAGGATTTATATAAAATTTTTCATTAATGGTTCCCTTTCTTGTCCAGCTGACTGTAAAATGTTTGAACAACAACAAAATAAAGATAAACTAAATTAACTTTACCTTCAGTTTATCCCCTCCCGAATTTTCAGATAAATGGATGCTTTGCTAATATTTGGACATTTGAACGAGACAGGGTATTACGAGCAGCGTCTTTCCTACCTACCTTTTACTAATTTCACAACTCATCCTTCGGTGTCCGTATCTTGAATAGTTATTTCTGGATTTTCGGGAGATAAGGGCAAATATAAAGAACCATAAATGTTAGAAAAATTGATCTTTTTTCCTTTAATATTCCAAATATTATCTTTTAACCTTATGTTAACAGATATTCACTTATTAATACTCTTTATTGTATTGTAACTTTATTGCAGCACAGACTTCTCAAGTAAACTTCAAATACTGTATGGTAACTCTTTGGTTACGGAAAATAATATGTTACTATTCTAAGCATTATATAGTAATGTTATGGCTGCTAAATAATCTCAAACGAAAATAAACATATATCAAAAATTACCTCAAATAAACTTGAAAATTATAATAAAATGAAACCAAAAAAAAAATTAAACTCAAGAGAACGAAAGAAAAAAAAAAGAAACAAAAACTATATGGGGATCCTAGGGGTAAACCCTAAGCCCTAGTCGGCTCTTGGGCAGTCTTTCGCCTGGTGTCCTCGCTGTTCGCACTTCTGACACCACATTCTCCGGAATGCGGTATCCACTAAGGCAGGTTGGAAATGGCGTCGGCGGTTTTCTGCCTCTTGCTCTGCCTCCCAAGTCTGGTTTAACACCTCCTCCAGAACAATTTTGGCTGTAGCAGTGGCCTCCTTTCTTAAGACCCTTTTCTCCTCCTGGCAGGCGGCTAGCCACTTTTGTCGCCGTTGATAGGCCTCTTCTGCTTCTCTGGTCCTGCGTTCCTGCACGGTGGTCAGGAAGAGATTTTAAATGAAGTGAAAATGTAGAGAAAATCTGTTTACATATATTTATTGTCTACATAACTACAAACAAGAATCACTTTAACTCGCCTTTTTATTAGATCATTTATAGGTTTTAGAACATTTTAAAATTTTAATTTTCAAAAAACTTGAAAGTTGACACCATGCAAGGTGTTTTAAATAATAAAATATATTTAAATAACGAAATCGATGTTATAAATGAATAGATGAGAATGAAACGACAGCTTTCTTCAACATTGATGAATATGATGGATGATTTATCGAATTTACTTTATATTTGTTCCAATGAACTAAAAATTCCCGGTGTATGGATTCACCTGCTTGTTCTGACCAAATGCCTAATCCATCTCCATCAAGAAATCGAAGGCAATCTTGAAGGTGTTTTGAAATTACGTGAATTTTCAGTGTTGTTGAGCATTCAGTCGCTTCATAAATTGTTTTAAACTCCCTTATATTTTTATCTAAATCTTTTCTAATTTTTTTGACCGAAAAACAACTCGAGACTACTTTGTCCATCGCTTTAAATGCGTTTATGTAAGGAAGCAAGCGAAGCCGACCAACGTTTTCATAGATAATTTTATCATCCAATAAATCAGCAGACTTGAGTAGTTTGCGACAAGCATTTCCTTCAAACACTCTTCCATGATAATTTTTAGAAGAAAGAGATAATTTTTCTGGCCACAAAAATGCTACTTTAGATGTAAGAAGAGGAACTAACCCGTCAAAAAATAAATGATTGACAAAGCCTTGAAGTAGATGCAATTCGGGAACCACGCATTTATCAACTACAAACTTATCATCTTCTTCATCGTAAAAGAGAGGTTCATTAATATTGCTGTAAGACTCTGGAGCTTTCTTTTTATTTTTTTTTAACTTGACAAAAGTCTCATAGTCTTTTCTTATATCTCCATAGGTTCTTAATTTTGCAAAATCGCCTTCTGCACTAACAATTACATCATCTTCAGCACACGATTTTTTTGATTCTTTCAATTTGATGAAGCAATATGGGCAGGGATATGTAGCAGATGCAGTTTGTAACCCATTAACTATGAGCATTAATTTAAAATCAGCTACAAATTTAAATGGAATTTTATTAATACCTGTTATTTCAAATAGTGTCTTCAAATTTTCGTAAGATTCTTTTATATCAGGGACGATGCACAGCATTAATAGTTTTTTCACACTTGTTAATTTTGCTTCTGATTTAACGTTAACTTTTTCGCATTTAGACTTAAATATTTTTTCCTTAGGCTCATAATTATCATCTTCACTGCTACAATCAGCATCAATTATTGATTTATAATTTTCAGGAATTATCGAGATACATATTTTAAAAAATCCCTGTCCTCCGTCAGCCATAACTTTAAGTTTGTAATGTCCAATTAAATTTCGTGACTCAATTGCAGCTTCCACTAATTCCGATGCATCGGCCCATATCACTGGTCTCTTTTCTTTTGTCTTCGATGTTTCAAATTCAAATGTATTACTACTTTTATATATTTCTTTTAACGAGTTAATTTTTTCACTTATATGGCAATGATAATTAGTAGGCACAGATTTTCTACCAGTTTGTGAACGAACAAAAGTGGTCAGTTTTCTCATTTGATTTGATGACATATTATTTTCTACAAAGTAATTATCTAAACTTTTTTCAGAAAAAAAAGTTTGCTTATCTTTTTTTTCCCCATTCAGTAAAACTTGAATTTTCTTCCCTTTGTCATTACTAAGTTCCAGTTGAACGTTTTTAATTACTTTATGTTCTGCTGAAAATGTTCCATTATTCGCTTTCTTCCGCAAAACATTAGAAATAATTTAATCCTGCTCTTTTTCAGGCAATCTGTCAATTAAATTAATAATAACTTCCTTGCAGGGTGCAGACTTTGTATCGATAGGTTGTAATACATTTTCAGGATTTACTTTCGGTTTAAGTTTACTATGAAGACCGTTGCTTTCATCAATTTGTATCGATATTTTCTTATTACCTCGACCTTTTAAAGTATTTAAAGGAAAATTATTTAATATCATTTATATCGTATATTTAATTATTATTTATTATTTACTATGATATATATCATAGTGAAACGTCGATAATAAATTTACATTAAATTTTGAGAAATGAAAAAGACCCTACAATAAAATCTACGAACGCCGTTTTTCTGTAATATTATTATTATATACATAAGAAGAATTTATTTACCTTTTAAAGGCTTTTTATGAAATTTGGTTCTTGCAGTTAAACATATATAACACTGACAAATATTATTACTATTTTGCTCTTGATGTCGAGTAACATTATTCAAACGCAAATCTTCATAATTTGGCATTATCGGCAATGATCTTATTTTTATTTCCTTTTCGTGCTCATAAAGAGTCGTTTGACAAGTGCTACATATACTAAGCGGAAAACGTTCATCATTCACAGAATAACTTTTATTTATGTATTTTTTTAACAAATCACATAGTTTTGTGGTGATTTGAAATTTTTCCGCTTTTGCATTACCAAAAATTATTTTTTTTCCACATAGCGCACAGATTTTATTTCTATTTTGATCGTGACTATTAATACTATTCAAACTTATCATCTTTTTATAATAATTTACACCTCACTTTATGAAATTAGTTAATTCACCTGTCTTAAAGGTATTTTATGTAAATTGCATTTGAATTATATTAAAACCATTTAAATAGTCATACATTTTATGTCAAAATGTAAACAAAATGCTTTTGTTTTGAAATTAGTAACTCTTATACTTAAATATAAATCTCATTGGTCCTCATTTACGCATGCTCATCATATAAATATGCTAACTAATTTCTTCAGTTTGAGTCACTCATTTTGAAAATTTTAAAATGTTGTAAAAACTGTAAATGATCTAATAAAGATGTGAGTTAAAGTGATTCTTGTTTGTAGTTATGTAGACAATAAATATATATAAACAGATTTTCTCTACATTTTCACTTCATTTAAAATCTCTTCCTGACCACCGTGCCTGGGTTTCACGCAGAATTCGGTAAGCTCGGCCCTCTTGTTTTCCCTTTTCGGCTTCCATCTTTTGTTCTTGGCGACTTTTTTCTAAACGTCGGATATATGCTGGTGGGCGGTTTTGCTTGGACATTTGCGTGTCGCGTGGTATTGCACCGCTTGTTGCTGGCGGTTTTACCACCATGTTGTTTGCTGAGGATGTAGAGGGCCTCGAAGTACCTGCCTCATTGGTCTCCCTAGTCGTCTCTCTGTCTATCTCTCTGCTCCATTGGGTGTTGGCACCTGTTGGTACCCAGTATTGTGGTGGTTCCCTTTCTGGTGCTCTAGGTCTCATTGGTACTCCATTATTTAGCACCTCAGAAGCTGCTGTAGGCCGTTGTTGCCCTTCGCGCGTATTGTTTGGAATATTATTTGGAGGTGCCGGTCCTTGGTTGGTGGCCTCCGGGGGACTGGTTACATTGAATTCTCGGAGCAGCTGCTCCATGCGGACGGTCAGATCCCGTCTGCGGTCTGCTTGCATCCGTAGTTCGTCTTCCTTCTCTGCAAATAAAATAGGGGGTATTTTCTATTTATTTAGGGAGTCGTCACGATCAATGCAAAATTGCAAAACTTTCCTGATTTTCAATAAAAGTATTAATAAAAAAAATTAATTTTCGCTATGTTTTAGTTTTGACTTTTCATTACAAAAAAAATCATCTTACACCATTTCGATAAGCATCTAACTACTCAGATTCAACATGCACAGGCAGATTTTTAGAGGATCTGGTTTTTGTGGTTTCCTCTACTCCCCCCTCCCTAGGTTCTCTGTAGGGGATAAGGAGCTTTATTGGAAACCTACCCAGCGACCTTCTTCGGTGGCTATTTCATACACCAAAGGTCCTAAGACACGTATTATAGTAAATGATACTTGTCTTTTGCACATAACTCGGTCTCCCTCCCGGAATAACGCGTGTCTACGTCGTTTGTCGTAACTTACTTTTTGACGATCGAACGCACTGTCCATTTGTAGGGAAACTAAGTCTTGCAATTTTTTTTAATTTTTCGATCCGTTCTAACCATTCTTGTGGGTTGTCTGGTACTGAGTCTAACGGTTCTTCGGTTCTGTCGCGTAGATTGTTGTAGGCTCTTGGTTCTCTACCCATATTAAAAATTCCGGACTAACGCCAGTACTACCGTGTACTGCCGTATTGTATGCGAATCTTAGATCTTTCAAATATACGTCCCATTTCCTATGATTTTTGGAGACATATGCGGAAATCATAGTCTTGATTACTCGGTTTACCCGTTCTACCGGGTCGGACTGCGGGTGATATATCGGTTTTGTGACTGGTCTTGGCTAGTTTTTGCACCAATCAGGGCTGCTACCAGCGCGTCCATGGTTTTTGACCATGGTTCGTTATTCGGATCTACGGTTTGTTTTGACGGTTCCACGGGTTCCGTTTTTCCCGTTTTATTTTCTTCCGAATCGATAACTGCGATTTTACTCGGTCTCGGGTCCGTCCGTATTGGTCCCTGAAACGCGTATTCGGGAATTAACGATTTTTCAGGCGGGGGTGGGGGTAGGTCATCGTCCGTAATCGCAATTACGCGTTCGAATTCTGACGTCAATTCCGCGAGACTGTTAAAATCGTTAAATTCGTGTCGTCGAATCGCTCTTCGGTAATCGTCTCGAAGATTAGCGTGTATGCGGTCCATCTGAGCTGTCATTTCGATCGGTCTGGTTGACAGCTGATACAAACCGTACATACAAGTCAGGTAATCGGCCGCAGATTCTCCAGGTCCCTGTTTTTGAAAGAGAATTTGTTCCTCGAGTCGATCCTGGAACCTAGCATCTCCGAACCTGACCTGTAATTGGTACTTGCACTCTTCCCAGGTGTGCCACCTGTGGCGATTTTGGCGGTACCAGTGTGCCGATATGTCAGTGAGTAGGAAGGGCATGGCTACAAGAAGTTCCTCATCTGTCATGAACGACGCAGCCCTACCCTCCTCCACTCGCCACAAGAAATTGTCTACGCTGGTACCTTTTTGACCATTAAATTTTATTTGCCAGCTATCTACAATTCTTGTGACGTTTCGGGGATTCCTATACTGATTTGTTGTTTCTTGGAAAAAACTATTTGTCGGTTCCTACTGTCCGTTTGGGTTTGAGACAAATCCCATTTGTCTATTCGCGTAATACGGGTTCTGGTATTCGTTTCGGTTTTCTTGTTCGAATCTTTCCCCGTATGGTGCCGATCGCGTTTGTCTGTAGTACCCTCCTAATGTCGGTCTTTCCCCCGCGGCTGAAGTCGGATTCGCTTAGGGAAATATACTATTTGTCGGGTATATGGGATACTGATGGCTGGGCAGGTTTGGCTCTGTGGTCGGGTGTCCGTACGGTCCTTGATAGTACCGGTCTGTAGTCTGTTGGTACTCTGTTAATCCTTGTTCGTTTTGTCTTGATTCTAAATGATTGTTATGATTTGATGGTAGTGGGGGCGGAAATTGTTTCTGGTTTCCGCTCCAACTCAAACCATTAAATCGTGTGTCCCAATTTTCAAAGTTTACGGTTGGGACTGTCGGAGGCATAGACGATCCTCTGGGTATTTCGGGAAACGGGTGTCCGTATGCGTCTCTTTGTCTACTCGAGTGCCCTTGATTATATACGGGTGGTGATTTCGATACCGTCGTTGTCGTGTGGCATGTCGGGCAAGTACTCGTTGCCGTTTGACTATTTAGGTTGCGTTCTGTATCCAGGTTCGTCAAGGCCGTGATTTGTTGTTGCATTGCTATGATTGATTCGCGCAATTCCTGGGTTTCTGTGCTTTTCGAGCGCGATTCAAATATATAATTTCCCCTTGGGTTTGTGTTTACATTTAAGTACTGCGGGTTTTGTGGGGGGAAATTGGTGTGAAAATTTTTCGGTTTGAAGTGTTTCTGTATTCTACCTGAGTTACTGTCTGTAAAAATGTTTTGTGTTTCGGTCACTACTGGGCTTTCCGGAAGTGTAGCAAATCTAGCCGATCCATGTGTTGTGGGGGTCGAGGTTTGCACCCCTGTGACGGGTATTCTACAAGCTTCGTCACTGTCATACCATGGGACATCTAATCTACCCTGCATTTTTGCGATTAATCTCTCTAGTCGTGATTCTAGTACTTCAGAGGAGCCTGATGTACTGCACCCGTGAAGCTCGAGTTGCTTCATGACTTCCTCGAATGCTCTTACTCGGCTTCCGAGTTGATGGACTAAATTATTCCCGTTTGTATTTTGGGAATTTGGGTCATTTCCGGTATTTGACTCTACCGTGTTTGTCGCTTGGGCTAGTGATTGGGTTACCGGTGGTCCTGTCGCTGTTTCTTCCCTTTTTTCCTGACTATTGTCGCTTGAAGTGTTTTTGTTCGGGTCGAGTTCTTTCGTGGTATTCATTTTGTAGCTTTATTCTTCAAACCAACACCAAAAAATTAAATTCCCGAAATTTTCCTTTATATTTTTCTAATTTTCTTAGATTTTCCAAAAATTTCCTTTTAAATTCTGAAATTTCATCCGAATTTTCAAAAATTTATTATAAATAAATTAAATTCTAATTTAAATCATAGTCAAATCAAGTAAATTAATTAATTAAATTTTTCCAATTTTTCAAAAAAAATTTCTTTCAATTTTTAAACTTTTACAACTTTCCGAAAATTTACTTTATTTTGCAATGATAAAAAAAATTCCAATTTTCCGAAAATTTATCTGGAATTCTGAAAATTTTTCCAATTTTTCGAAAAATTATTTTAAGTTCCGAAGAAAAAAAATTGCAACTACTCAAAAATTTCTTTCAAATTACCGAAAGTTTCATTTTAAATTCTGAGAGAGAAAAAAAATCTTTCTTATTTTATTTTTATTTTTCCGAAAATTTATTCAAAATTTTGAAAATTTACTTTAAATTTCCAAAAAAAATTCCAATTTTTGAAAAACTTCTATTGAATTTCTCTAAAATTTCACAAAATTCAGGGGCGATTTCTTAATTTTTCGAGTTACTTTTCTATTTTCTTTTTCTTTTCAACTACTTGTTGCTTCGGATAGCAACCAACCGAGAAAACACAAAACTTTCGGTAAATTTCTCGAATTTCAAGAAAAGAAAAAAAACTTTTCCGAACTTTTATTATTTCAGTATTCTGGAAATTGATTACCAAAAAAAAACTAAAATTTCCAAAATTTGGGTAAATTTCCAAAGTTTACTAAAATTCTTTTACTTTAGAAATCCAGTTTTCGGTTTAGGATTTCCGACGTTTTGGTAGTTTTGTCTATTGGAAAGCAAAATACCGGCCAAAATCTAAAATTTACTAAATTACCGGTAAATTACCCTTCCGGTTCGGTAATTTACCAAAACAAACTATGTTCTTTCCTGTTATTTTCTATTATTTCTTTTTACCAAAACCGTTTCTAAAGTTCT